CGGAAATGGAAACTTTCATAATTTAATAACCTTTGGGAAAAAAAAGAGATGGAGAAGGACATTTCATATCCATCAAAGGGAAAAAAAAAAACCCCAGCAAGATGAAGCCTCAAATCTAAATAGTTATGCCCCCAATACAAGAACATCCACATTTGTAAAAGAAACAATACTAAAACTTGAAGCACAAATCAAACCCCACACACTAATAGTGGGAGACTTCGATACCCCATTCTCACAAACAGACAGGTCTGCCAGACAGAAACTTGAGACATGAGGAAACTAATAGATGTTGTGACTCAAATGGACTTAAAAGACATATATAGAACATTTCACCCAAACACAAAAGAATATACCTTCTTCTCAGCACCTCATGAAACCTTCTCTAAAACTGACCACATATTTGGTCACAAAGCAAATCTCAAAAGATAGAAAAAAATGGAATAACTCTGTATCTTATCGGATCACTGTGGCTTAAAGTTAGAATTCAACAACATCAATTGCAGAAACCTACTGACTCATGGAAACTGAACCTTGCTCAACTGAATCACCACTGGGTCAAGGAAGAAATAAAGAAAGAAATTAAAGATTTCTTACGATTCAGTGAAAATGAAGGCACAATGTACCCAAACTTATGGGACACTTTGAAAGCAGTGCAAAGAGGAAAGTTCATAGCACTAAGTGCCCACATAAGAAACCTGGAGAAATCCCACACTCATGACTTAACAGCACACCTGAAAGCTCTAGAACAAAAAGAAGCAAACTCACCCAGGAGGAGTGACAGGAAAGAAACTGAGGGCTGAAATCAATAAAATAGAAACAAATAGAACAATAAAAAGAATCAACGAAACAAGGAGTTGGTTCTTTGAGAAAATAAACTAGACAAACCCTTATCCAAACTAACCGAAAGGCACAGAGAATATCAAAATTAACAAAATCAAAAATGAAAAGGTGGACATAACAACAAACACTGAGGAAATTCAGAGAATCATCAGGTCATACTACAAAAACCTGTTCTCCCAAAAGAAATGGACAATTTTCTGGATAAATATGACTTACAAAATTAAATCGAGACCAGATAAACAACTTAAACAGACCTACAACCCCTAGGGAAATAGAAGCACTCATTAAAAGTCTCACCTCCCCTCAAAAAAGTGAGGGCCAGAACTTCAAAGAAGAACTAATACCAATACTCCTCAAATTGCTCCACACAATAGAAACAGAAGGAATGTTGCTAAACTCTTTTTATGAGGCTACAGTTACCTTGATACCAAACCACAAAGACACAACTATTAAGAAAGAGAATTACAGACCAAGCTTCCTCATATAATTGATGCAAATATACACAATAAAATACTGGCAAACCGAATCTCAGAACACATCAGAACCATCATCCACCATGATCAAGTCGGCTTCATCCCAGAGATGCAGGGATGGTTCAACATATGAAAATCTGTCAATGTAATCCACCATATAAATAAACTGAAAGAAAAAAAAAACATATGATCATCTCACTAGATGCTGAAAAAGCATTTGACAAAATCCAACACTCCTTCATGATAAAGGTCTTAGAGAGAGCAGGAATACAAGGAATATATCTAAACATAATAAAAGCAATATACAGCAAGCTGACAGTCAACATGAAACTAAATCGAGAGAAACTCAAAGTGATTCCATTAAAATCAGGAACAAGACAAGGCTGTCCACCCTCTCCATATCTATTCAATACAGTACTTGAAGTTCTAGCTAGAGCAATAAGACAACAAAAGGAAATCACGAGGATATAAATTGGAAAGGAAGAAGTAAAACCTTTGCTATTTGCAGATGATATGCTAGTATACATAAATGACCCCCAAAATTCTACCAAGGAATTGGTGATAAACACCTTCAGCAATGTGGTGGAATACAAGATTAACTCAAAAAAAAATCAGTAGCCCTCCTATACACAAATGATAAACGAGCTGAAAAAGAAATCAAGGAAACATCACCCTTTACAATAACTACAAATAACATAAAATATCTTGGGGTAACTCTAACCAAACAAGTGTAAGACCTGTAAGACAAGAACTTTAAGTCTCATAAGAAAGATATCAAAGAAGATATCATAAAATGGAAAGATTTCCCATGCTCTTAGATAGGTAGGATCAACATAATAAAAATGGCAATCTTACCAAAAGTAATCTACAAATTCAATGCAATCCCCATCAAAATTCCATCACAATTCTTCGCAGACCTCAAAAGAATAATACTCAACTTCATATGAAAAACAAACAAACAAAAAACCCAGGATAGTAAAAACAATCTTGTACAATAAAGGAACTTCCAGAGACATTACCATCCCTGACTTCAAGCTCTACTATAGAGCTATAGTAATAAAAACAGCTTGGTATTGGCATAAAAACAGACACATGAATCAATGAAATCAAATCAAAGACCCTGACATGAATCTACATACCTATGAACACCTGATTTTTGACAAAGAAGTCAAAATTGTACAATAGAAAAAAGAAAGTATCTTCAGCAATTAGTACTAGCATAATTGGATGTCGATATGTAGAAGAATGCAAATAGATCCATAGCTATTGTTACGCACAAAACTCAAGTCCAAGAGTTTGAGTTGACACCTCAACATAAATCCAGCTACACTGAAACTGATAGAAGAGAAAGTGAGAAGTGGCCTTGAATGAATTGGCACAGGAAACCACTTACTGAATATAACACTAGTAGCACAGACACTGAGAGCAACAATTAACAAATGGGACCTCCTGAAACTGAGAAGCTTCTGTAAGGCAAAGGGCATGGTCAATAAGACAAAATGAAAGCCTACAGAATAGGAAAATATCTTCACCAACCCCACATCTGACAGAGGGCTGATCTCCAAAATACACAAAGAATTCAAGAAACTAGCCATCAAAATATAAAAATGATTCAACTAAAAAATGGGGTACAAAAAATGGGGTACAGATCTAAATAGAGAATCTCAACTGAAGAAACTCAAATGGCCAAAAGACATTTGAGGAATTGTTCAACATCCTTAGCCATCAGAGAAATGCAAATCAAAACGACTCTGAGATACCATCTTAAACCTGTCAGAATGGCTAGAATCAGGAACACCATGACTGCTTATGTTGGAGAGGATGTGGGGTAATGGGAACACACTTCCACTGCTGGTGGGAGTGCAAACTTGTACACGCACTTTGGAAATCAGTATGGCAGTTTCTCAGAAAATTGGAAATCAATCTACTTTGAGACCCAGCAATACCACTTTTGGGCATAAAAGGATGTTCAATAATACCACAAGGACATTTGCCCAGCTATGTTCATAGCAGCATTATTTGTAATAGTCAGAACCAGGAAACAACCTAGATGTCCTTCACCTGAAGAATGAATAAAGAAAATATGTACATTTACACAATGGAGTATTACTCAGCAGTAAAAACAATGACATGTTAGAATTCGCAGTCAAATGGATGGACCTAGAAAAATAGCACCCTGAGTGAGGTAACCAAACCCAGAAAGACAAACAGGGTATGGACTCACTCATAAGTGGATATTAGACATAAAGAAAAGGATAACCAGGCTACAACCCACAACCCTTGAGAAGCTAGCTAACAAGGACACTAGAGAAACATGCATGGATGCCCCTAGGAAGGGGAATTAGGTAAGATCTCCTGACTAAATTGGGAGGTGGGCTGAAGGGAAGGGGAGGAGAACAAGGAAAGGGATGATTGAGTTGGGGGAGAGACAGAGAGGGAGATCAAGGAAAGAAATATCTTGATAGAGGGCACCATTATATGGTTAGGGAGAAATCTGGTGCTAGGAAAACTCCCAGGAATCCACAAGGATGGCCCCAGCTAAGATTTCTAGCAATAGCGGACAGATAGCCTGAATTGGCCTCCCCCTGTAATCAGATTGATGACCACAGTAATTGTCATCATAGAACCTTTACCTACTAAGTGATGGAAGAAGATGCAGAGATCCACAGTTAAACACTGGGCAGAGCATCCAGAGTGCAGTTGAAGAGAGGGAGGAGAGATTATATGAGCAAAGGGGTCAAGATCATGAGAGGGAAACCCACATAAACAGTTGATCCAAGCTAGTGGGAGCTCACTGACTTTGGACTGATAGCCGGGGAACCTGCATAGGACCAAACTAGGCCCTCTGAATGTGGGTGACAATTCTGTGGCTTGGGCAGTCTGTGGGGCCACTGGTAATGGAACCAGGATTCATCCCATGTATAAACTGGCTTTTTGGAGCCCATTCCTTATGAATGGAATGCTCAGCTGCAATTCAGGAGGTGGGGTGGGGAGGGGCTTGATCCTGTCTCAACTTGATATGACAGACTTTGTAGACTCCCCATGGGAGGCCCTACCCTTTCTGAGTAGTAGATGGGAGGTTGGGTGTGTGTGTGTGTGGGGGGGGAGGTGTAGAGGTGGAATGGGAAGAGGAGAGGAACTAGTTGGTATGTAAAACGAAAAAACCTTTTAAATAAAAAGATAAAATAAAAGAATTGGGAATTTAAGGTTTAGATAGGTGAATTAACTGCTGTTGAAGAGAAGAACTACCGCCTACCCTCAATTGCCTTATTTCAAAGGCTCTACTTTGTCCACCCTGTTGCAGTATTTCTCAAATGTTCATCAACAGTGTTACCCAGCTCGTTACACAACTCAAGGCTTGGGGGAAACATTTGTCCTGAGAATGACACTTCCTAACTTTGAAAAAGATTAGGGGCAAAAGTAGGAGTTGCCAGAGAATAAGTTAAGATATTTAGAAGAGAGAATGTTGTACTTTATCCCAAATTTCATGCCTGGCTTCATTTGATTTTACTTCTGAAATGTTAGGGGTTATTCTCTGGCAGCCCTCAGTTTATACTTAAGGAGCCAGCCCTCATTTCTCCCCGACAAAAGTGAAGGATGCTAGTAAAAACACATTGACCACAACAAACCTAGGGCATTTCTTTCACCGTCTGAGCTCTGGTTTCAGGGGATTAATAGGCTCTTTACCTTTGGTGCCAGGTGGCTGCAGATTATCTCCAGTCAAAGAACACCAGCCCACAGGAAAGATGTCCCGGGAGTCAAAGCGGCACCAGTAATCAAATGCACCTCGCCACCCATCAAAAGTGACAAGCACCTCTGAGCCTCGAACTTCTCCAATAGTGGCTGGGCAAATGAAATGGGGGTTCTTTCTGTCTACAGCTTCTAACTTCATTCCCATTTTGAAGAAGTTGTGGGAAGGTGATGGTGGCTCCTAGATGAGAAACAGAAATATTCAGACCTGCCTCTAAGCTGTGAAGTGGCTACACAGATCAAACTTCAAATAAATTCACTGCCCACTCTATTCTTTTCTCCTAGTAATGAGTACCTGGTTGGAAACAACCCTCTACTTTGCCATCCTTTAGCATTATTTTGAGGTGTTCTTTCTCTTTCGTCTTTCAAATGAATTAATCAGCTTTTCAAGATAGATAGGAAAACCACACTGGATCTTAACCGGAACTGCAATTAGATTGCATTTAGATTGACTTGGGAAGAAATAACACTCATTACTGATAACATTAAACATGATAGCTTTTTCCATTTAAAATTTCTTTAATATAGATTTCTCCTTTATATAAAAATTTAAATTTCCTTTGTAAATGTCACACTTAAAATTTTTGTTACATTTATTTATTTTGTATGTGGGCATGTGTGTGATATATGTAGTATGGCACACATGTAGTTAAAATACAACTTAAGGGAGTTGATTTTTTTCTATCATGTGGGTCCTAGGGATAAGACTCAGGTTATCAGGCTTGGCAGCAAGTACCTTTATCCACTGAGTCACCTTACCATTTCTTCATGTTTACTAACATTTTTTAGGCATATAAATATTCCACTTCCACCATGAATAGTATTTTAAAAATTTATTATCAAACTATGGAGGCTGGAGAGATGGCTCAGCGGTTAAGAGCACTGCCTGCTTTTTGAAAGATCTTGAGTTTAATTCCCAGCAACTACATGGTGGCTCACAACCATCTGTAATGAGATCTAGTACTCTCTTGAGGAAGAGACCTGGCCAGTCATCCTCATCAACTTAGACCATGAAACCCAATATGGACAAGTTCAACAGAACTGCCATATACGGGCTGCACATGCATGTTTCAGCATTGCCAGGGCATAAATTTCATTTTTTTCATTCAAAATTTCCATAAGGTAGGAATAAATGATGCTTTAAAAGTTGATCAATGATACTGATTAATAAATGAAATTCTGTCTGCTTTATTTATCAATCACTGAGAGATACACATGGAAATATTTCCTACTGATTGCAGGTTTTCCAGTTTTGTTGTGTGTTGCAGAATGAGCCCCCCGAGCAAAACAGCTGCCATCTTCAGAGCAGCTGTGTCTGCTTACAACAGATCAGCACTAGCAGCCCGCTGATGTTCCCTCAGAGAACAAGAACAGAGGAAAGGTCACTGGGCCCTCTCCTGAGCTGTGGCTGCTCTCTCCTGTAGTTCTCAGTCATTTGTGTGCAGTTCTGCCATAACTACACACAGTCTTAGGGTCTAGTGAGGTACTAGGGTACATAGGCTCAGAAGGCTCTCTGGAAAGAGGAGCCCCACCTACTTATGTAGCTACGGGTAAGTCATCATCCATGCTGTACAAAGAAGACTTACCAGGGCAGCAGCTGTGAGGTCACTTACATTCCTGAAAGCATCTGTGCTCTGGAATTTGCCCAATGAACTCACTGAGTTCCCTAGGATGAACTTTGCTTTGTCATTGGGCCTTATAAGGAGAGGCTAGACAGTGCCTACATCTTCCTAGTGAAGAAATTCCCACACCTCCACTGATTGTTATTTTTTCCTTCAGGTACTCTGAGGCTATTTTTATGGAGCACATGTACTATGATTGTTTTGTTTTCTTGGTGAACTGTACTTTTTTAATCATCACCTAGTGACTTAAATATTTTTTTAGTATCAACATCTGTGTGACTTAAGTATATTTTATCTCAATTTTATCTTTTATGCTCCCTCTCTCTTTATATATATGCACATATACACACACACCACACACATATACATATATTTGATAGAGAGTTTTACTATGGATCCATGGCTTGCCTGGAGCTTGCTATATAGACTAGGCTGTCCTTGAATGCATAGAGATACACTTGCTGGCTCCTCTACCTCCCAAGTGTTGGAATTTAACACCCTGTGCCACCCTGTCTGGTAACTACTATAAATATTTTTATGTTATTACATTTAAGTAGTGTCTGTTCCAAATGATATGTTGTAATTAAAAAGTTTCTCATGATAATCAGTGTATCAGAATACTTATTCATTTACCTATTTTTTGAGAGGAGGTCTGTGTTTTCCAAGTTTGACCCAAATGCCTGGGTTAAAGGGATTTTCCCATTTTAGCCTCCTGAAAACTTGAATTGCATACAAGTAGGTACCACTAAGTCTCTTTTCCTTCCTTCCTTCCTTCCTTCCTTCCTTCCTTCCTTCCTTCCTTCCTTCCTCCCTCCCTCCCTCCCTCCCTCCCTCCCTCCCTCCCTTCCTTCTTTGTAGCATGAATTCTAACTGTTCTTAATAAAAGCCTAGAGTCAGACATTAGGGGGTGAATGCTGAGGGATCAGAGAAGCAGTGCAGCCAGCCACTAAAGGGACCTTTTTTCTTTTACTGAATCCTCAAACCAAAAGGGCGATCCTGTCCTCAGATTGTGTCCTCTGAAGGACTGCTCCAGACTGCATCTCAAGACTTCATCCTCGGATTTTAACAGTTTCCACCAAACCTTAGACTGCATCCGAGCTCGTCTCCTTCTGATTTCTCTCTCTGCCCAGCCATATCTCTTCCTGTCTCCACTTCCCAAGTACTGGATTAAAGGTGTGAGCCACCAGTGCCTGGCCTCTAGTGGCTTAGCTCTGAACTCTGATCTTCAGGCAAGCTTTATTTGTTAAAACACAAACAAAATATCACTGCCTTTATTTATTTATTCATCAATTCATTCATTCATCCTTTTTGGTTTTTCAAGACAGGGTTTCTCTGTTTAGCCCTGGCTGTCCTGGAACTTATTTTGTAGACTAGGCTGGCCTTGAAAATAAAAATTGTTTCATATTTCTTCTAGTTCTTCAGGCATTTTCAAATACTTAGGTTTTACCCTGTAGCTGATATTTGTATTGTATGAAACTACTTGGGGTGTCTCTATCATGTAAAGTCTAGACAATCCAAACACAAGGGAGATGGGTGCATCCCAATTCATTCACAGAGTCTCTTCCTTAGAAATATCACCATCTTTTTCACTAAGAGCTAAAATGTAAGCGATTGGGCCAGGCCCTAAGATCTACTTAACCTTGCATGGGTCCAAACCTCACCTTGTGTTTTACCAAAACTCTATAAAGTAAGATTGGCAGAGCTCCCACGACAGTTATGCATTTAGCACATATGTTTAACACTGTTGTTTTTCTTACTTTCTAGTAAGCTCCTCAAAGCATGAAAGAGAGTATTGATGACTCTTCCCCACCTCACAGTTCGAGATATTTTTCACTGAAAGAGAATGAGGTATTTCTCATTCTCAAGTGGTCCAATATATTATATTTGAAAACCAGAATGCTCTCATGATTTAGATTTAATTACCAGCACAGGCAAACTTAACTTAGTCATGTCCACAGTAACTCTCACCCCACTGGAGAACTTAACTATCAGCAGACTGATTTTCTCTCTTCTTGAGGCACAGAAAGAAGAAGCACAGGTTATCTATCCCTGTTCTATCCCTCACTAGCTATTTGATTTTAAGTAAATTCCTTACTCAGAAGCAGCTCAGCAGGTAAGAGCACTCACTGCATACTCTTGCAGAAAGCCCAGTTTTTGCTACTAGCACCCACATGGTGTTTTGCAACCACCTGTACTCCATTTCCTGGGAATCTGACACCCTCTTCTGGCCCTCATGAGCACCAGGCATGCATGTGGTACAAATGCATTAATATGAGCAAAACACCTATACACACAAATAAATAAATGCAATTAAAAACTTTAAAGTATGCTTCCTTAATGATTAAGTGAGTTGAATAATTCTTCATACATATAAGCTAGATGTGGATAATAAATGTGATAATATATATAAGGCTACAAACATATTACAGATAATTAAGTAACATTTTCCCCCATTTAGAACACAGACTACAGAACTCTATAAGAATTATTCCTTTAGGTTTACACTATATTTCATAGTTCTAATAAACACATCTTAATTTTTTAGTAACCCTGTTAGGCAGATAGATTTCACTCTATAGATAAAGTCAGAAAAGATCTCATCAGATAGATTATCTTGTTATTGACAGCTAGAACCCCCAAACAGAAATCTTGTCTCGTTCTTATAGTCTAATACAATTCTCTGAAGATAACATTTGTTTTATATATTTTTAAATCTTCTACTGAACTAGTGTCTGAGAAGCATCCTCATGCCATAGAAATAAAAGAGACAGTGGAGGTTCAGTAATTGATAGAAAGCAAAGGCAAGTATTTGATTTTTTTGTTTGTTTGTTTTGGTTTTGAAAGACAAGGTTTCTCTGTGTAGCCCTGGCTGTCCTAGAACTTAATCTGTAGACCAGGCTGACGTTAAACTCAGAGATTCACCTGCCTCTGCCACTTGAGTTCTGGGATTAAAGGCATTCACCACCGCTGCCTGGCTAGTTGTTTGATTTTTAAGAAGCTTGCAGATCATGATAGCTGAGAAATAGTATACCTTATGGAAAATCTTGATGGGAGCCATCTCTGCTCCATTTAGTGTCTTCAAAAGGAACATGGGCCAAGAGGAGGCATTCAGCCGAAATCCTGCAGTAAATATAATGGAGAACAGATTAAAAAAAGTTCCCAAAGGGCAGGGTGATATCAAGTTCTCCCTCCAGAATCTAGCTACTCCTGTCACACCTATGCTGTGACACTCATAGGCCCTTGAAAAGGGTTTAAAAATTGGATAAAGGAAATGGCTCATTAGACAGATGAGGAAAAGAGGCCCTTTGGAGGGAATGTAAATTTATCCTAGGTAATGCAACAAATAAGTGGTACAACAGGGTCTCTAAATCAAAGACAAATATAACCATAATTCCTCAAACGCTTTCTTGCATAAATCCAAGACAGATATAATATAGGATGAACAGATACTTGAAAGTGATCTAAACAGTAAACTATAAAATTGGATTTAACAGTCTCTTAAGAAAAAACAGTTGATTAAGTAAGTCAGTTTGTAAGTCTAAAAACACAAGTAAGCCAATCAATCACTATAAAACAACTCACTATTTTCCTATGACTCTCTGAAGAAAGTCACATATACACATATACTTTTGGACTTGTCTTTGTAAATAACTAAGATCAATGAATGATGAAACAGAAAATCATTCTACCCTAAATTATTCATTTTTCAAAAAAGAAGCCTTAAAATTTAATTGTCCATTGAAATCTACAAAGTCAGTGAAAATGTACCATTGAATTAGTGAGTTGTAAAAATTAAAATCATTATTAAATTTGGTCTTCTGATTTGATTCTCAACTTCTCCTTTCAATTTGGCTTCAAGTCCCTATACTGAAATGGTTTTAAAACTGTCTCCCAACCTAGGCCTTATCATTATAGTCAGAGGACAGTCTGTGTCAATGCTGAACATAGGGAACTAACAACAGAAAGTTGTTAAGTGTGCAGCTCTGTGCCAATCACTTTCCACTGACTGCTGACTATTTAAGCAGCCTCAAAACATAGACAGTATCTTCATTTTACAGATGAGAAAGGAGGCAACAGTAAACTATTTAAGGTTTCAAATGTGCAAATGACACAATCTGAGTAAGCAATCTGAGACCTGATCCTATATGCTTACCTACTATGTTGAAATCAATATGAAAGTAAAAATGAAAAATCACCTTTTGGGATTAGCATTAAAAACTATAGTTAAATTTAGGAGGAAGAAAAAATGAAAATTAGGAAGGTGCTATACCTCCATATGATTTACATTTTCTGTCCCAATCTAACTCTATTGAGTTAACTTTCCTAAAACAAGTAAGTTCTTGGGAGAGCTCATTCCTATCTGTAAGGAGCCGTCCGATTATTGCCATTACAAGATGGCGCCGACCTTGGAGGCATACAAGTCCTTATTTGGTATTGCTGCGTGGGGCTGAGCGCTCTTTGCCTGTACATGCGCAATTGAGCCTTGTCCCTGGCCAATCCTGAAGCTTCGGGCATCAGCAGACTAGTATTCACCAATCAGGGCAGTACCCGAGTCCCTTCAACCTATATAAGCAGATGCCACTTGGCCTTCGCTCTCTCTTGCTCCCTGCTCTCTCTCTCTGCTTGTTCTCTTTCACTTCTTGTTCTCTCTCACTTCTCGCGCTCTCTCGCTTCTGCTCTCCCTTCAACCAAGAGGCTCCAGTAAAGTGTGATTTGAGAAGGATCCTCGACTTCGTGGTCGTTCTTCCTTGCTGGTCAAGGGGCGCGCCACACCTATCAACAACAGCAATAGCAAGGTGGGCATTTTATTACTTAATCTGAAACTGCCATCTCTTACTCTTTTGTTGCTTAGCCACTTTGCTCTTTTGAAAAACAAAACAAAAACAATACTCTTAATTCCACATGATTTGGTGGGATCTCAATCAGGTTGCCCTATCTACTTGGCCACAGGGTGGAAAATAATTCCATGTTGGAGCATCAGACTCTTTTAGATCAAAATTATATGTGTAAATGTGGGTCAATTATCTTGTGGCATTAAAAGTATGCTAAAAGGGTGACAGCTGTAAGAAAATATATAAATTCAGCATTGATACATTTGAAAACATTTCCAAATAAGACCAAAGTAGGACTGGGATAGAAAGAACTATAGCATTTAAAACAACCTGTTAAAACACAATACTAGATCATTTTTTGGCCTTTTTGGTTATAAAATTAAATAATCCTTGCCTCCTTTTTTTTTTTCCTTTTTTAATACGGCTTGAACTAGGTTTTTGACTACTTCATTTGCTTTGATCATAATTGTTTGTTTGCTTATTTGGTTGGTTTTTAAATCCAAGTCCTCCAGAAATTGAGGACTGGTGTGTGTATGTGTGTATAAAAGATAGAGATAGCATGTTCGCAAACTCAGATTAGATGACTGCACAATTAGGAAATTCAGGTTTCATACCCTCAGTTACCTGTTCGAACAGGTAATTTAAACACTTTTAAAGAAAGGGTCTTCCATTTTGTTTGGAATTTGAGGTGTTAAAAAATCCTTCCAGCCATATATGATACAAGGATATCAGCAAAATAGCTAGTGTGTGCTGAATGTACTACCCATGTTATATGCCATTTCTTATTTAACATTCGAAATGGTAACATAAGGCAGACACAATTACCTGTACTTTATAGAAGCTGAAATGGAGATCGAGTAGTAGGTTGTCCAATGTCACATTAGGGTGAGGAGGACAGATTTCAGTATGTGATGGTTTAGCCCTGTATCTTACAGTTCTTTGCTTATTACCTCCTAGCAAGCATCTTTAGGATTAGAAGGGCAAGATACAGAAGTTAGAATGGCAATACTAAGGACTTTAATTTGATGGTCTCCAAGGTGATGTCGATCTCTTTCCCCATCCAAATTCAAGAGAATAAGTAATTTGTATTAATATTCTTGAAAGTCAGAGATATGAGTTTCACATTGGAAAGGAGCTTGGAGGTGAACTATCCAAAGATTTCATATTGTAGAAGACAAAGCTAAAGTAAAGAGAAGACAAGAAATTCTTCATGGCCAATGAAGCTGCTCTTGTGGTCAGGCTGGGATCCTTGAACTTATTTTAATATGTGTTTATATGTTTATGTGTGTGTGTGTGTGTGTGTGTGTGTGTGTAGGTGCATGTAAAAATGTTGGCTTCATGTGCATATGAAGGCTGGAATTGGTTTTCTACCTTATTTTTGTCATTTTTATTTCATTTTTCTTTTTTTATTGAGCTATTTTTCTTTGTTCACCTTTCTTCATCTTAACTCTCTTTCTATGTTCCCCCATGACCCTTCACTCCCAATTTACTGAGGAGAACTTGTATTTTTCTACTTTCCCTATAGATTAGATCCATGTATGCCTCTCTTGGGGTCCTCTCTGTTTATTAGGTTCTCTGGGATTGTGAATTTTAGGCTGGTTTTTCTTTGCTTTATGTCTAAAAGCCACATATGAGTGACTATATAATATATTTGTCTTTCTGGGTCTGGGTTACCTCACTCAATATGATGTTTCCTAGATCCATCCATTTGCCTGCAAATTTCAGGATGTCATTATTTTTTCTCTGTTGTATAATAATCCATTGTATAAATGTACCACACTTCTTTATCCATTCTTCAGTCAAGGGGCATTTAGGTTGTTTCCAGGTTCTGGCTATGACAAATAACACTGCTATGAACATAGCTGAGTACATGTCCTTGTGGTACGATTGAGCACCAAAAGTGGTATTGCTGGGTCTTGAGGTAAATTGTTTCCTCATTTTTCTAAGAAACTGCCATACTGATACCCAACGTTTCTGTAACAGTTTACACTCCCACCAGCAATAGATGAATATTCCCTTTACCCCACATCCTCTTCAGTATAAGTTGTCATCAGTGTTTTTGATCTTGGTCATTCTGACAGGTGTAAGATGGAACTGAGTGTCGTTTTGATTTGCATTTCTCTGATGCCTAAGTATGTTGAGCATTTCCTTAAGTGTCTTTCAGCCATTTTATTTATTTTTTTAAATTAATTTATAAAAATTTCCACTTCTTCCCCTCCTCCCAATATCCTCCCACTCCCTCCACTCTCTCTCTTCCTCCCTCTCCAGTCCTAAGAGCGGTCAGGGTTTCCTGCCCTGTGGGAAGTTCAAGTTCCTCCCCCCCTCCCTCCAGGTCTAGGAAGGTGAGCATCCAAACAGACTAGGATCCCAAAAAGCCAGTACATGCAGACGAAACAAGTCCCAGTGCCATTATCAATGGCTTCTCAGACAGCCCCCATGTCAGCCACATTCAGAGAATCCGGTTTGATCACATGCTTGTTCAGTCCCACTCCAGCTGGCCTTGGTGAGCTCTCATTAGATCATTCCCCTTGTATCAGTGGGTGAATGCACCCCTCGCGGTCCTGACTTCCTTGTTCATGTTCTCCCTCCTTCAGCTCCTCATTTGTTCTCTGTTTAGGTATGTACCCCATTTCTTTTGTTAGAATATTTGCTCTTTTGATTATCAATTACTTGAGTTCTTTGTATATTTTGAAGATCAGCCCCCGTCCGATGTGGGGTTGGTGAGCCCGATTCTGTAGGCTGCCGTTTTGTCTTGTTGACTGTATCCTTTGCTTTACAGAAGTTTCTCAGTTTTAGGAGGTCCTATTTATTAAGTGTTGTTCTCAGTGTCTGTGCTACTGGGATTATATTTAGGAAATGGTCTCCTGTGCCAATGCGTTCAAGTGTACTTTCCACTTTCTCTTCTATCAGGTTCAGTGTGGTTGGTTTTATGTTGAGGTCTTTGATCCACATGGACTTGAGTTTTATGCATGGGGATAGATATGGATCTATTTTCATTCTGTTGATATCCAGTTATGCCAGCACAATTTGTTGAATATTGTTCTTTTCCATTTTATATTTTTTGCTTGTCAAAACACAGGTGTTTATAGGTGTGGGAATTGATATCTGGGTCCTCGATTTGGTTCCATTGGTCCTTCTGTCTGTTCTTATGCCAATACCAGGCTGTTTTCAGTACTGTAGCTCTGTAGTAGAGTCTGAAGTCAGTGACTGTGATGCCTCCAGAAGTTCCTTTATTATACAAGATTGTTTTGGCTATCCTGGACTTTTTGCTTTTCCATATGAAGTTAA